GTATTTGATTTCTATTTATAAAAAGCTTAAAGAAACATTCTTTATAAATGGTCTTATAGTAAAAATAATGCTCTATATTTTTATGATATTTGATCATTCTTCAACTAATATTATGACAATAAAATCTCGCTAAAGATCTGTTTGTTATCATTTGTAATGATTATATTAGATTAAACGTTGTTTGTAACGTGTATCCTCTTCTTGATGCTTTCTTTGTACTTCGTCTCGAATGTCTAGCAGTCTATACATATTAGAATATAAAAAAAGTAGTGGGGATAGAACAAAAACAAAACTACCAAAACAAATTCATCAAGTTTTTACTTAAGTAATTCTCCGGATCTGACATCATGTGATTTTTTCGTTACTCGATTTAATCAAACAAAATCTAAGCGATCCGAAAAATTCTAAATCATTGCATTATGTTGTAAATAAATTCATGAATCTTTTGAATAAAGAAAAGTATTGAAAAGCATTCGATAAATGAAATTTAGTGTGAAAATAACCAGGACAATTATTGAGAACATTTCTTCCATATTCTTCCGCTACTCGTTTTTGTATACCTGATAATATGTATAAATGACTAGAGATTAGATAAGAAGATATCCATCGAAGACGAAACTTAATATAAAATATTACAAGCACATATCATAACAAACAACTCTTATCGAAATATAATTATTATGACATTAGTTTTTTATGACTTTATAAAATGAAACTAGTAGTGTATTTTTTGATATTGTTCTTAATTTTAACCAACTACTCATTATTCTTTGCACAAATATATTATTTTTAATTGACTAACGAGAAAGTTCTTGTAACAACTGAATTATAAGATTCGGTTAAAAATAAGTGTTATCGTAACTAGACTAAAGTATTATTAGTCTTAAATGAAACAGTAATCAATTCGATATTAGATGCTATTAATTAGATGTTTTAATATTTTAATTGTATCAAGAGAGACTGAGGACAGTTTTTTGTTTCTGCTAAAAACTAAACGTATTGTCAAGAAATCTACGATTGTAAATATTCTATGATATTGACTCAAAACAAAACTCATTCTTACACGAAGATTTATCATTTTTGAGTATAGATCCGATTTATTGACATTTTTCGAATCCCTACCAACCCAATGGATTCTGTCTATTCCTAGGGACGCATGAGACGTGACATCCCCTGCTTCTAAAATTCGTCCTCACAACTCCCCATTTCCCTACTTTGGAAAAATGTCCATTTTTCCAACACTGAACACTTCTCCGTTCGTCCAATCTGTCTACTGGTATCAAAACGGAAATTGTATTCTATCGAAAACAATAATTATTATAATAAGAAATAGTTATATTTTTCTTTAAAAAAAAAATGAAAGTAATATTGAGTTATCTTTGTGTTTTTTTACATTATGCTCATTATACGCACGAGTTTTTTATATAAGGGAACATTGGAAAATAGATTATGAAACGTATTTGTTAATTAAATAAAATCGAACGAATTATGTAGCATGACGAAGAGCAGCTAAACGACTATTTTGTGCTGCAACTTCTTGTTGTGCTTGTGTTGTTACTGTTTGTTGAACAGTTGGAATAGCATCAAGTTGTGTACTAATATCTAAATTATTTTCTTCGGCTATTTGACGTAAAAGATCTTGAACAGCTTCAGTTGGTGCACCTGTTGCCATAGCTTGATTCATTGCATTACTCATTACTTGTTCTTTAACATCAAAATTTTCGAATGACTAAAAATAATAAATTTTATCTTTTTTCTTTTAGAAAAAATAAAAACCTAAACTAAACGAACTTGTTCGAATTGTTCCATAATTTTAGCTAATTCCGATATATTCATATCTTTATTCACATGTTCAAGCATTTTATTAACTTGTTTCATATTTTTAACCATAACATTTTGTGCATTAGCTTGTTGAATCTATATTAAAGAAGAAGAAGAAAAAAAAAATAATTATTCGTAGTTAATTAAAAAAAAAAAAAGAATCTTCTTACTTTCGAAATAACACTATCAATACGAGAAGCCATAATAAGAAATTGATTATGCGATGTTCGATTTTGTATAGCTGTTTCAGCATAGATACGAGCTGTTTCAACATCACCTGATTTTTTCAATACATTCACTGCTTTTTTTCGACTAGCTTCATATTTTTTTTCAGCTGCTGATGCTTCTTTTTCAATCATTTTTTTCGTAAATCGAAGGTTAAACTCAGCATTAGTACTCATGACTTTACAACGTTAACTCAAAAGAATGAATAATATTAAATAAATATAAATAGTCAAATATATTTTGGATTTAGCAAGGTAGAATTTGGAATACGTCAAGCTTTTGTTAAATTGATAGATGGCATTAGGTCACTTTTATGCGAATTTCAGTTTTTTTTTTTTTTTAATATGAAATAGATTTAAGATGCATAATTATCTTAATAAAAAAGAAGCGGGATTTGAGATGATCTCGACTATGGTGAATATTTATTCGTGTATAAAAAAATGACTCATTAAAACGTAAATTTTGTTTTTTTTTGAAATCTCTTCTATCGATTAAAGATCCTTCTTTGGCAACAACAGCACTGGGTTAAACGTATTGAATCACTGATTGAAATATCAATCCACTCACGCCTATTTTTAATGAAAACTCTCTACGGAATTCAATGTCAAGTTTGGCATTGAATCATTATGACAAATTTACATTCCTTTAAAAAAACCGTTGCATTCTAGTGTTTTACCCTGTGTACGACTTTTCGCAACCGGATCTGAATGAAAGTTAATCCACATTCGACAGATACTTTCACAAAAAAGCGAGTAATTCAAGATTCACTTGATGTGTTTCTACTTCTAAAATTCGATCAATTTTGCTTAGGTATATGTTTGCTTATTGCTGATGATGTTGGAATGGAACGTAGTGTTGATGCCCAACGACATAATTATGTATACATAAATGAATACTTTTTTGATAATTCATTTTTCTTCTTTCCATGTATTCAGTGATTTTGTCATATGGTTCATCATCATCTGTAGATGAATGTGTATTAAAAATCAATTCTTTTAATAAAACAATATTGTTTTCAATTTCTGTGATCTGAGTCAAGATCTTATTAATTATCGGATTTGGACTGATACTCCGGATTGAGTCCGGTGTCGAGTACTATTTGGTTCCATTGTAGAATTTTATGTTTTTATTTTTTCAAAGTGATATTATTCATGAATATTTATTCTAAAACCTACAATCGAATCGTAAACTAGAAGTCAACACACTAATTTCAACACAATATTCGAGCGCTTTTTTTTTTTTTAAATAAATTCTTCATTTTTATTTCGAAGTAACAATATAACTTTTACGACCGATATTTGATAATCTTTTTTTTTGTTCGATTACAATTTTCAATTATGATTTCTTGTGATTCTAACAATAATTGTCCATCAACTAATAACAATACTAGTTTATGTATTGCTCTACTTCCTGATTCTAATAATGGTAATTGTGGCAAAACTAAGAATCGTTTTGGTCAAAGAGCAGGTACCTATCGTTCATCTAGTTGTTATCGTCCACTTCAACAACTTTATAAAACAGTATATTCACCAATGTGTGCAAATAGTTCATCACGTATTAATTTTGCTTGTATTTGTCGTCCAGCAGAAAGATATAAAACAACAAATATGACTTATGGTAGTTTTCATTATAATAATTGGGCATTTGTACAAAAAAATCGACCAATTGCTTATGATAGAGAATTTTTCGTGCAATGCTATGAAAATAAGAGAAAACAACAACAAATGAATCGTCAAGAAAAATGTAACAATCGTATAACTAAGTAAGATAGTTTTTAATATATATGTACACTCAGAAAAAATATTATTAATTTAGTGGATATGATTCAAATGAAAAACAATATTGGACACAACCAACATGCAATTCATGTTGTCCAACTGACTGTTGTAATAATGTCACATTGAATCTTCCGAATTGCTAAACATATTCTTTTTTTTTTTGTATGGTTACTGGGTACTCAACTAATGAAAGATTCTTCCTAGATGTTTCTTGTCAATTTTTCACCTATAGATACATGCATAGTATTCTAGTAAACATCCTGAAAAGATTTCAATTCCTATTAAAAGTTGACGAAGTTATTGAACTTTTAATATATCTATTTATAAGACATCCCGGTAGGATTGTAGGTTTTCGAAAAAATGGTGTTTGGAAATTTCGTGTGTGTGTTCGAATTTGAAGAATTGTTGAAAACATTCTCTCATCTGTCCGAATAATATTCGTTCTGTTGCTGAAATGTTGTTTCTACAATAGAACAAAAATTTTCGGACTGTTCAGTTTCTATTGTAGAAACTATTTGAGAAGTTCTTTTACGAATTTGAATTGGAAGCCGATCAACTCCTAATTATAAATTGACTGTTTTGTTCAATTTTGTTTTTTACATGGGAAGTTACTATATGCGAGACCTTCAAACAGTGACAATTTCAAGACAAAAATTCAAAAATACGATTATTTCGAAAACCTAGAGTGTTACAGGAGTCTCTACTAAATAGATTTGCATAGCTCTGTCCAGTTTCAATAGGAATTCAAATCCTTTTTAAGATTTTCACAGAAATATTTTCTAGTATATAAAGGTGAAAAAAAAATTGAAAGGAAGCATCTGGGGTAGTTCCCTTGTTAGTTGTGTAAAAAATATATTTGTTTTATTTTTAATAGATTTTTTTTTTAAACAGATAGATCATATTGCATGTGATTTTATCAAAAAATAAATAAATAAATATGTAATTCAAGTCAAATCATTCTTAAGTCTTACTCGAATATCAATCATGATCATTGGATATGTTTGAGACAATTCTTTGTATATGATATTCTACATTCATTCATATATATATATATATATTAACAACAATATTCCACGAAAAAGAAAAAAAAAAGGGGAAAAATAAAAAAAAAAAGACAACAGAACACAGAACAAAAAAAACAAAAACAAAAGAAAATATCAAGTAATTCAATGTTGTTTATTTCCATAACGAATTTTTTTTAAGAAAATGATGATATTTTGGAAAAATATTTAAACGTAAACTTAATGAATATAACTCATCTTTAGTTAATTGTCCATTAGCTAAAATCGAAAAAAGAAAATTATTTAAAATATTAAATAAAATAAATAAATTACTAACAAACCATCTTCATCAAATATTAAAAATATTCTATCAATCATTATACGTCGATATCGTTCACGTCTTAATTGTTGTTGTTGATTATTTAAATTTCTTTGATAATTAGCTTGAACAATAGCATTATTTGAATAACTCGATATAGGAATATGTCGATAGATTTTATAATTATCTAATTGAAGACGATTAGAAGGTGTAGAAAGATTTTTTAATTGAAACTTAGTAGTAGAAAATGATGTTGAAGATTTTTGAATATTAGATAAACTTACAATTGGATTAGAATTTACTAAAAATAAATTTTTCAATTATTGAATTTTATCTTTCTGCTTAAAAAAAAAACATTCGTTTACCTCGAAAAATAGGTAAAGCATTTGTTTGTGATGTTAATATTAAAATACAAAATATAACTAAACGAAATTGTTTTGTTAAATTGATTTTAATTAATAAATCTTTGTCATAATTTAAATATTCATTTGAATAAAAAATTTGTTTATAATATTCATCATTATTTTCTTGCATTGATATTGAATATTTCATTATTATAAATACATATTTCAATTGACCACTAGAAAAAAACAAGCTGTAAAATAAATAAATGTTTATATATCTACAAAGAAAAACAAATAAAATAAAGATTTTTTTTGCATTTTTTCTTTAATCAATACTTACGAGAGAAAATTTCCAAGTGATAAATCCATTTTAAGATGGAACTATATTCTATCAATTGGATCTAGTGAGTAAGTAAATGCTCTAGAATGGTTCAAACTACTGCACCATTTTCACTAACGAGGGAACATTCCCAGGTATTGGAACGATTTTTAGTCAAGACTTTGCGCATCTTGTAGGCCTTGATGAATTATGTCTACCGTAAAAAAAGTTCGTGCTCCTAGCTTGTTCCTAGTGAGATATCGAGGTTTTAGTGAATTTTTCCTATAAGACCGCACATTTGCAGCAAGGCC